CGGTCCATCCCCACACACCCACCGACTCCCTCGACCTCCCTCCCCCCAATCCCACTGCCTGGACCCACCCCCGTCCCACTCAGGACATGCATGAAAAAGAAGCAATGGGCTTAAATTGTAGCAAGGGAGAGTTAGGTTAGACATTAGGAAAAACTTCCTAACTGTAAAGGTAGTTAAGCATTGGACAAATTACCTAGAGAGGTTATGGAATAGCAGTCATTGGAGTTTTTTAAGAGGTTAGACAAACACCTGTCAAGGATGGTCTAGTTGTTATTACTCAGTCCTGCCTTAGTGCAGGGGTTTGACTAGATTAGGGTTACCATACGTCCGGATTTTCCCGGACATGTCCGGCTTTTTGGGATTCAAATCCCCGTCCGGGGGGAAATCCCCAAAAGCCGAACATGTCCGGGAAAATCCGGCGCCGCTGGGCCGGGGGCTGGCCCGGGGCGCTGGGCCGCCGGGGGGTGCGCCGGGCCCCCGGTGGTGCTGGGCGGCCGGGGGGTGCGCCGGGCCGGGGGCCGGGGGTGCTGGGCCGGGGCCGCGCTGGGCCGCGGGCCGGCAGTGCTGGCCCGGGGGTGCTCGGCCAGGGGCTGGCACCCCAGAGCCCAAGCCGAGCCAGGCTGGAGGGACCGGGGCCGGCCGCCAGAGGGGGCCAGACAGGGCCGCGCCGCCTCCCTCTCGCTTACCTGCTGCCTGCTTCCCGCGAATCAAATGTTCGCGGGAAGCAGGGGAGGGGGCGGAGTTGGGGCGGGGACTTTGGGGGAGCGGCGGAGTTGGGGCCGGGATGTGGGCGGGGGCCCCGTGGAGTGTCCTCTTTTTGGACACTCCAAATATGGTAACCCTAGTCAAGTGGTTAAATTTTATGAGTACAACTTTTATGGTCTTTGTAGTTACACTTGAATTTCATAGCTTTAAATGAGGAAGAAGGAATAATTTTTCAGCTGTATTTAGCCAGGATTTGAAAGCAGTCACTTACTTGTCCTTAACACACATTCAAGCAGAGAAGACTTTTCAGTGGACCATCAGGACCAGTAATCATTGTAAATCACCTCCTGGAAAAAAAAATGCATAAATATTGCTTTTTTTATTTTATAGTTAAAGTTAAACATGAAATGTTTAAAATTTTAAAAAACCCTTTTACTTATTCTAATCTGGAGATTTCCAGTTTGAAACCTGCTTCACAGCTGTTGCTATTCTTTACTGTAATTGTTGGACAAGATCACATTGTAATTGGAACATTTAATTTTGCAATTCCAAAGTTTATGTTGCATCTCTAATAGTACATTAAGATAAGTTATGTTTTATTTTTTCTCCTTTACATTTTTTTAGAAGGAAAAGAAAGAAGCCATCTGGGATGGTCTCTTCATAACTCCATAGGTTTTCGACCCTACCACTTACTAGAGACACAAAATATCAAAGCGATGTTACAACTGTTTACAACTACATCATTTTAAAAGTGTATTCAATTCTTGTACATAGGAAGATCTAGCCACTTGTGAAGTTTGTAATTTTAAAAGTTCATCCTTTTGAATTATCAGTGTACAAAAGAACTATTAAATTCCTTTTAAAGTTGAAACATTTTCTTTTCCTTCATTCAGAACAGGCTACAGCCGGTTTTTTAGTTTTAATTCTTCTTCAAAACACACATCCAAGACTAAGCATGGAAAGTTCCAGGTCAAAATGAGAATTTTTGTAACGTTATGACCAGCAAGTAAAAACTGAGGGTACAGACACATCTTCCCTGTACATGAGCACACTGCCTTGTGCATCATGCAAGAACAGCAAACTATTTTCAAAGCAGAAGGAAAAAGTGTACATTGTCAAGTTCCTACTGCCTAGTTTTCCTGTGAAGTTCTGAGAATAAATAATCCATTTTGTGGTGCATATTGTACAAGGTATGATTAAGTGTACTAATTAGTGAGCATTTCTGGGTCTCTATTTAGAATTACAGTAACTTAAGGAAAAGTTTCAAACAACAGCTGCATGATTGAATTGATTTATTGAAAACTGCTTGAAGCACTATGTAAAGCAGAGGCTGTTCAAGCTAATTAGAAAAATAAATTGCTCTTGGGAAATATTTATGAGGCATTCACATGTAAAAGTACACACTATTGTCCTATCCAAAATCAAGAGTTTCAAAATTGATACTTCTACTCAGACTACTTAGTAGATAATCACTAGTAGTCAGGTGAAGAGCTTTATCCAAGCAGATCATTTCTTAAGAAATTAAACTGAGGCCTTTCAGATCAACTGGGTGTGTATGAAGTCGTCTGCTGTTTTAACCAGGTCTTTGACAATACTGACTATAGCTTTATTCATATGAACAGACTTACCAATTAGAGGGGTGATTGACAATGTGGTCACATAAGAATAAGCATTAGGAGTAAATTATCTCCTAATTAAACACCTTTGTAATAGTGTTTTATGCTAAATCAACCTCCACTAATCACATAAACTAGAATGAAGACCAAAAAAAATTCATAATACTGCTAAGCAAGATGCTCCATCAAAAACCCTTAATTACATTTGAACGTTACAGAAAATGAAGACCTTCAGATGGGCATCTCAGTAAAAACTCAAATCAGCCTCATTACTTGACTATATTCAATCTTCAATGGCATGATTATTACCCCCAAAAAGGGCTACAGAGACCACTTATAGAAGTTCTCTACTGGAGAGACCGTATGAAGAAAATGAAAAGTGCAATTTACCTGCAGATGACCAAATAGGTTTGTCAAGACATCATTAACTATTTTAGAGATTAATATTCAAATTTCTAAATATTAAGTCAAATTTTGATTTTGTTAACTGATTGTGAAGTCACCATAGTCATCAATCTCAAATCAGTTTGGAAAACCAGAATCCTGCAATAACTGATGTTCTTGCAGGCAAATCCATGCAAGTACTGATACAGTTTGCCTAATCACCAAAAGAAATCCCGCTGAACATCTGAACCACTGACACGGACTGGACAGGGTGGACAGAGTCACTTACAAAAGAAGTCATCATCTTATTGAAGAGATTTGAGATCTCAAAAAATGTTCTAAAAAAATGAATAGTTTTGAAATGCTCAGTCACATTAAGACAGCTAAAGTGTTAAATGCTTTGCACATATTAATTTTCCATTTAAGCAACTGTTGCAATTACCATACAGCTGTTATGAGATTGAAAATGGAAAAACTGAACATGTATTAAGTAGTGGTCCACACTATGAAAAAGTTTGAAAACTGACACTTAAATTGCTTACAATTAATTCTAGATCGTTTTAGATTAAATTTGAAGCTTTGGTGACTTTTGTTCATAAATGGTGTTCAGGCAACAGGCCCAGCTATCACAAAACAAGTTAAAAGTTTAAGAGTAAACTGTGTATAGATTAACCAATTTTCAGTCATTGTCTACCTACCATTCCCATTTTCAGCATATTCACAACATTAGTGATATGGGCCATTCAAGACAGAATATACAGATTTAGCAACATTTATGCTTCATTCACTAATTATAGTTTAAAAGAATTTAATACACAGTCATCTATGAGCTATCTATTTCTGTGACTATGCCCCATCCTGTCTGTCATTACTGATAACTAGGAAGAAATACATGGTTGATAGATGGGCTGAAAGAGAAAACAGTCACATAGCCCAAAGATTGGTTTAAGCTGACCAGGGCCGGCTCCAGGGTTTTGGCCGCCCCAAGCAGCCAAACAAAAACAAAAACAAAAAGCCGTGATCGCAATCGCGATCTGCAGCAGCAATTCGGCGGGAGGTCCTTCCCTCCAAGCAGGAGTGAGGGACCGTCCGCCGAATTGCCGCCGAACAGCTGGACGTGCCGCCCCTCTCCGAAGTGGCCGCCCCAAGCACCTGCTTGGTAAGCTGGTGCCTGGAGCCGGCCCTGAAGCGGACTTCCGCGCTACTGTGTTGCAAGTCTAGGTACAATAAAGAAATATATTTTGATAAAATCATTGTCATTTTTTGGTGGGGAAGCAGGTTTATAAATCCTGTTTGTAGGCAGAGGGTGCACTCTATGGAACATCAAATCCACTGCATCACAGAAAACAATAAAAAAAAGAACCCCATATATAAGAGTTTTTGAGCACAGCAGCTTTGGCGGTATGTCTGAGGGTAAGTGACTGGTTTGGCTGTAGCATGAGTCTGTGCCTTCCAATTCTGCCCAAGTAGACTACGCACTAGGATGTAAACACATGACCAGTCTAAAAGGGAAGATGGAATATAGTTTCTGAAAGAAGTCTAGTGGTGCAGAATAACTACAGTTTTTGATAAATCCTACAGGAAGGTCTTTCCAGGCTAAAAAGACTATCTAGATTAGTATTTTCATTAATTTGCTCTGACCATAAATCTTACAGGACCACCTTCCTGGAATGACAACTTGGAATGGTCTTTACTAATGTTAACTAAGGCACTGTAAGTCTTACTCCATGGATAAGAGCTAGAGTAATGTAAAAAACAAACAAATGGAAATTTTGGTTGATAAACGAAACCAATATATAATCAAACTGAATATGGTAAAATATTACCACATATCAAAAGGGAGTGAGCACATTATAACTCAGGTCAGTATTACTCTATGTTTATGTGAAATATTTTTAGCTGATGTAATAAAGCTATTAAATATTGACTTCATCATTTCAGACTTTTCACTGAAACACATACCTTTCCTTTCACTAAAACCTGGCTATTCTCATGCTATTGAAAACCTACACTGTCACATCTTGCAAGATGTAATTCCATTATTCCTATCCTAAAACCAGAAGCTTCCTCTTCTGATCAGAGCAAGGCCATTGCATTGTGCACCATCTGAAAAGTTGCAAGTTTATTTCAAACTTGATGATCATCTAGTGTATTATTGTGCTTTATTACAGGCACTATAAAACTAAGCTAATTACCACATGTAACAGGGTGGCTCGCCCCTGATTACAGAATGAGCCACAAATGGGAGAGATCAGGATTATTGTCCTATAAAGAGCAGCAGGAGACCACAGTGAAGAGAAAGGGAGTGGGGACAGGGGAAGCTCAGTAAGCTGTGGAAGGGTCTGCGAAAGTGAGGAAAGTTCTCCAAGCAGAGAGGCCTGGGAGCACAGGCACCGACTTTCCAAAGTGCCGTGGGGTGCTCAACCCCCGGCTCTGCCCCCACTCCACCCCTTCCTCCAAGGCCCCACCCCTGCCCCGCCTCTTCCTGTCCAATTCTGCTCCCTACCTCCTCAGCCTCCCACTCGCTGCAAAACAGCTGATCGCGGCAGGTGGCAGGTGCGGGGAGGTGCTGATCTGCAGGACCCGCCGGCAGGAGGGAGGTGCTGGGGGGGTGAAGGGGCGCTGATAGGGGGCTGCCGGTGGGTGCTCTGCACCCACCATTTTTTCCCTGTGGGTGCTGCAGCCGCAGAGAACCTGTGGAGTCAGCGCCTATGCCTGGGAGAGATCCTGACCATGCAAGGGAGGGATTGCAAAGCTCCCCAGGCTGGAAGTCTGGGAGGAAGAAGAGAAACGTTGTGTTGTGTGGACGTAGGAACAGATTGGTTTGGGGATTTTGAGTTTTATTTGCAGTTTATTTTATATTAATAAACCTAGCCTGCAAGGAGGGGTATTTTTGACCCAAAAAAAGCCTTGGTGAAGTTTTATTTGAATACTCCAAAAAGAGAAACTGAGGTTGATTGCTGGTAGCGTGACCAGTGCTTAATTTGTGCCAGAGCTTGCCAGGACTGAGCCTTGGCACCTCTAGGCTTTGCAGTTCATAGTCCCAGCACCTCTGGGCTTGCTGCAACCATTATTAATTAAAAAAAATAAATGCTTGAGTCCCGGCACCTCTTTCATTACAAATTAAGCACTGAGCGTGACCGTAGGCTACTGAAAGAGGCACACAGGAGGCACCTGGCCTGGTCACAAGGCAGAACAGAGAACTCAATCCCAGCACAACCCCAGTTCTCAAAACTTGGTACCTGAGTCTCTACAATCAATGTCTTTGCTAAGTCTGACAACACCAGTAGCACTTTCATCATATGAGCCTCCTTCCATTTCCTGTCTACAAAGTATCTGTGTTCAAC